TATCCGGCCAAAACTAGATGCGGAATTGGATAAACTGTTAAAACAAGGGGTCATTGAGCCAACAGATTTCGCCAAATGGGAGACGCCCATTGTCACTCCCCTCAAAAAAGACGGTAGCCTGAGAATTTGCTCGGACTACAAGACGACAATCAATAAATTTTTACAAGTTAGCGCTTATCCTGTGCCCGTCATTCAGCATTTATTACACACATTCGAACCGGGCAGCATTTTTGCTAAATTGGACATGTCTCAAGCATATCAGCAGTTCCCCGTAGATAACCAAACAGCGGAACTCCAGACCATTGTCACTCACAGGGGTGCCTTCCGATGCAAGCGTCTCCAATTTGGCGTAAGTGTTGCCCCAGGTATTTTTCAATCCCTCATGGAGCGGATTTTGCAGGGCCTCCCTGGTGTAGTACCCTACTTCGACGACATCTTAGTCTCGGCCAGAGACAGACCCCAACTCTTCCAGAGAGTTCGAGCAGTGTTAGAGAGGTTCAGACAGCATGGCCTCAAGTTGAAAAAAGAAAAATGTGCCATTGCCACTAGACAGGTGGACTTTCTAGGTTATAAAATTGACGCCTCTGGCATTCACCCCCTGGAGTCCAAGGTTAAGGCAATCCACGAGGCACCCACTCCAACCTCCAAAACTGAGCTACAGGCTTTCTTGGGGCTATTGAACTTTTACGCATCCTTCTTGCCCCATAAAGCATCAGTAGCTGAACCCCTACACAGATTACTGGATAAAAAGTCACCGTGGCACTGGGGGCACAAAGAAGACCATGCTTTTCATGCCGTCAAATCACTACTCACGTCAGAGGCGGTACTTATTCAATTCGACCCTAACCTCCCTTTAGTGCTGGCAGCAGACGCATCCCCTTTTGGAATTGGGGCGGTACTAAGTCACAGGCTCCCCAATGGCGCTGAGGCTCCCATCGCCTTTTTCTCAAGGACGCTCTCTGCAACGGAGCGCAATTACAGCCAGATCGATAAGGAAGCCCTAGCAGCTGTTGCAGCCTTGAAAAAATTTCACAAATTTCTTTTTGGCCATTTTTTTGAGCTGATCATGGACCACAAGCCCCTCCTGGGCCTACTAGCCAGGGACAAACAGACCCCTCAAGTCCTTTCCCCTAGGATGACAAGGTGGACCCTCTTCCTAGCAGCCTATTCCTACAGACTTATACACCGCCCGGGAAAAACACTGTCCCACGCTGACGCTCTCAGTCGCTGCCCCTTGCCGGCTCCGGCTGAAGACCCCGCCCCTGTCCACGCTATTTTCGAGATCACCCAGTTGGACCTACCCATCACTGCCCTTGACATTGCTGCTAAAACCAAGGCAGATCAAACGCTCGCCCAGGTGCTCGACTGGGTGAGGAGGGGGTGGCCAGGGGGCAATGTTGAAAACAAATTCACACCTTTCAAGACTCGCATGCAGGAGTTGTCCAGTTTGCAGGGCTGTCTACTATGGGGCACTCGAGTGGTCATCCCGACCTCACTGCGTACCCGAGTTCTGGAAGCGTTGCACGAGGGACACCCTGGCATCGTGAGAATGAAGGCATTAGCACGCAGCTACGTGTGGTGGCCGGGTCTCGACGAGGACGTTGTCAATTGGGTAAGTTCCTGCAGCATTTGCCAGGAATCCCGTCCTGCTCCCCCCATCGCCACCCCTACTAGATGGGAAAACGCCAGCGCTCCTTGGTCCAGAATTCACATCGACCTGGCCGGCCCCTTGCATGGGAAGATGTTCCTAGTGGTCGTGGACGCCTATTCTAAATGGATTGATGTAGCACAGCTATCCACGACCACCACACTAGCAATCACCAACGTGTTAACACGCCTGTTCATAACGCACGGGCTACCCGACTCCATTGTCTCTGACAATGGCCCACAGTTCGCATCGACTGAGTTCAGCCGTTTCGTGGCCAACCTGGGCATCCGCCACATTTTCACAGCCCCATTTCATCCTGCCAGTAACGGATTGGCTGAAAGGGCCGTCAGGACCACTAAAGAAGCCCTGGCTAGGTTCAGCAGGGATGACTGGCACCACAAACTCTCGCGGTTCCTGATGAGCCAGCACTCAACTCCCTGCTCAGCCACCAATAAGTCCCCAGCTGAGCTCCTGATGGGCAGGCGCCTGAGGGCTGTATTGGACAGACTTCACCCACAATACTGCCCTGACTCTCCCCTCGCTTCCACATCGGGGGTTAGACATTTTATCTAACAGGAGCCAGTATTCGTGAGGAACTTCGCTGGAGACCCCCTGTGGATCCCGGGCGAGATCGTAGCCATCACCGGTCCACGGTCATATCGGGTCAGACTGGAGGATGGCCGCGTCTGGAGAAGGCACATAGACCAACTACGGAGGCGCCTCAGCACCCTCGCCAGCAGAGATCCAGAGTCACACGATGAAAGGAGACCTCATCTGCAGCCCCACATCCACATCATGCCCGGCGACCAGTTCACACCAACAGCCGATCCCGAAGGCCCGAACACGGACAGCGGCACCCAGACAGTTGACCAGCCCGATCCAGTCTACGGGAGCTCATCTCCAGTGACCAACCCTACGAGTCCCAGGAATGCCCGAACCGAGGGGCATACTGATGACACTTTGCCGGCTCTGCCTTCCTAGGCAGACCCCGAACGGACAGACAGTGTTCCAGAGCTGCGCCATTCCGGGCGCCAACATAAACCTCCTGCCTACCTCAAAGACTATGCGTGTTCGCATCTGGGGGGAAGGGGTGTTATGTCCTGAGAACTCTAGGAGTTCTCACTCAGGTCCGCTCACTATGCGTGGGCGTTCTTCCCTTCACTCATTGGTTGGTTCTCCCCAGCAGCCAGCTATAAAAGCAGGCTGTGGGGTCCCACCAGTTGCTGATTGCTGCGAGCCAGTTCCCAGGCGTGGCAAGCACGATCAGCCCTTTATTGTTATAATAAAGTATTGTTGCACTCATGCTCTGGTTCAGCCTCTCTTTTCCCAAACTTAACAAATAGTCTTCCCTATAATGATGTATGGGTGTGAGAATTGGATGCTATGAACAGTTGATGAAAGAAGAATAAATGTCTTGAATTACGGTGCTAGTGTAAATTATTGCATATACCATGGACAGTCAGAACAAACAAGAGAGAAGTGTTGAATGATGTAAAACTAGCCACTTCACTAGAAGCCAAAATCACAAGGCTGCGTCTGTTTTATTTTGGCCAAATCATGGATGCAAATTCATTGGATAAGTCAATGATGCTAGGAAGGGTTAGTGGAAGAAGAAAAAGGGACAAGCTGAAATAAGCTGTGCTTAGCAGGGTAGCATAGAGAGCACTTGTCTATAAAGTCACCAAGACTTGGACAGGATTGAATGGGTTAAAACAACAACATGTATTTGTTTCCCACTTTTATTATTTTTACAAATAATTTAAGGTGCTAGACATAGCCATCACATCTTGGTCTCATCTTTGGACCTGGTTTCATGTAGATCTCACAAACTAAGTATTATCCAGCTTTTTGAGATCTTGCAAGGCAATTGGCTGATCCTTCATCCATAAACATTTACAAGTAATAAATTAGAACATTTACCTCTGTGCCTTCCCCAGGCATTCATCATCAGTCAGCAAACTGCTTCTTCCTACTAGTTTCAGATAAGGTGCTAAGTTCTAAGTAGATGTTTGTTTGATTTCCAGGGCATGATGCTGAAATATAGTGATTTATACTGACATCCATAAACCCTAAAAATGCTACCTGAGCCAATGCAAGGAGCTTCATTGAGCAAATAAGTAAACAACCTAATAAAAGGCAGTGGCAAAACACATCCAAAGTGTTGTCATGAATTGCATTACATCAGTAGGCACTGAACATAATTTGAAGGTGACTTTACTTTACTGAAGCTTTTATTCCTCAGTTACCTTGCCATCTGTTGCAGAGGTGGGATACAAAAGGGTTAACTACCGGTTCCGGATTTACGAGCTTCCCTGCCCGCTGTGTGCCATGCACCTATAAATCATCATAAATCATTATTAGCACGTCATCAGCACACTGCCTGCCTAGAAGCAGCCTTTGAAACAGCCCTCTTTTCTTGTTTTTTTAACTGCAGCTGTGCCTCGTTCAGAAGCTGAAGTTGAAAAATCAGGAAATAAAGATCAGGTAAGAGCCCAGGTGGGTGGGTGGGCAAAAAAATCAGCAGACATAGCAGCGGTTCTATGTCTGCTGCTCTTCAGAGTTACCGGTTCTACAGAGGTGGACAGAACTGCTAGAAACCCACCCCTTATCTGTTGATAAATAAAACTTTAAATCTTTCTGTGGTGAGGAGTAAAGCACTACCTGAATCCACCTAGAAACTATTTAGTATTTGAAAGGAATGGAACAGCAGATTGGCCTCTTTTGCAAGTTAATAGATGGAAATAACTCCATGAGAATTGGTTCACTCCTTTCTGTACATCATTACCACTGTTTTTCTCCTTCCTTAAATCTCAGAGGCATATGTGAAAATAGTCTCAAAAGATAAGGTTAACATGATAAAATTGTTCCAGCAACTCCAGATTTGAATCTGGTGTCTCTACCTGAGCAGGAGAAAGCCTCATGATTGATCCCTTTTTCCTTAAATTGTGATGTTGTCTCCAAAACTATCATTCTAAGATGGTTTTGTGCAGAACAATGGTCATTGACTACTTCAATCCTGTTTCTGTTCATGAGAAAATAGTTCCCTTGTCATGAGAAATGCTGGCTTTCCAACTCCATTTTAAATTAAAGTATCCTAGAAAGCTGCACTAAGCAATCAACTGCCAGAACCTTCCAGTTATTCAACAAAGACTTTGGCAAAGTTTAAGACTCAAGAAAAATCTAGAAAAATTTTCTAAAGTAAACTTCTCTAACTGGGCATTCTGCAGATGTATTTTCTGTCAAAGTTATTACAGGGATTATGTTGTGTTTTAATGTATTTAATTTATTTTTTATTTGATGTTCATGTTTCATCTTGCTTTTTCATGATTTTATTCGTTAGTACCTTCTGTGTGAAAGTGGACAGTAAATATCTTAGACAAATAAGCAAGTAAAAGGATCTTCTGTGTCATGAGTGAACTATTAATGTCCTAAACAAATAAACAAACATTTCTGCCAGCTGCAGAAACTTCATCAGATGGATGGAGTATTTAAATTTGAGATGGGATTTAACTAAGAATTGTTCTGCTTCTAGTTTCAAACACCCAGAGGTACACACATAGTTGCTATGGTGATTAGTGCTTTCCTCAAGGTTACAATGATAACAGTCAAGGAATGAAAATCAAACCAGAGTCTCTGAAAAGAGCTTGCCTAAATGTTCGGTTTTAATAAGAATCAAAAATCCAGTCTAAGGTTTTGAGAGCCAAGTCAGGATGATCATCCAAGTCTAGAAATCAGAACACTGCAAGCAGAATCTAAACACCACATGAGATCCAGAGATCAGACAGTTGCTTTCAACAAGAGATCAGGGCTCCCTCTTAAATCAGACTTCAGCCAGCTGTCACTGTGATTCTTGGTTTTGTGTTTCCCAAGGTTGCCATTCCACAGGTCCTGCTGAAGTAGCTTCTATGCGGTCAGAGTCATCATCTGGTTTCTAGGGGAAGGGAGAAAATAAATTGGTTATACAGATGCAACTTGCATGTGGTAAACGTTATGAGTACCTGGTCATTTCACAGCTTCAAGTGTTAAACTTCATTGTGCTTGTTAAGATAGTCTGAAACTTTTTTATATTTGTGTAGGGGAGTTCTACAATTTCTTACTCTGTTGTTCTATTAAAGTCTTGTTTTCCCTCCAAATGAACACATGGAGATGTGCAATAGAACTTCCTGGAAAGCTAAAATGTTCTGACATTATTTGGCCTTGTTTAGAGTCCTGAAGTCAAACTTATATCCATCAATTTCCTTGTGTGGAATTTATTCCTATGTAGAATTCTGAGGTGGTAAATACTCCTAATTTTAGTATATAAATGAATAGGTTTCTGTCAATATCATCCTCCCCAATATATCGTTATCATCGTCAGTCTCTCTACCATTGGAATATAAGCCTACCCATATGAACATTGTGAGAATTCTTTTGATCTATAATAGAATTACAGAGCAGTGATTCAAGGACATAGCTGTTTAATTAGTAGTTTTATGTAAGTACCAAGAAAGCAATTCATGGAAAGAAAAGAGGGCAACCAGCAGCAAGCTTGGTAGTCTTAGTTACAGTGGCAATGGAATTGCCGTTAGAAGAGCCAGGATGATTTGTTAGGAACAAATCATCATGGAGATGATTCATCTTTGTGGCCATTCAAATGGAGGGGGGGGGGGATTATTCAACTATCCATTAATCTTCCTATTCTACTCAACTTTTTCCATTAATTGGCCTGGCTAAGAAATTATAAGTGGTCTTCTTCCAGTCATGATGGAAGAAAAGCATGGAAATTCTTTCAGTATTTCTATCAATTCTAATGTGACTATTTTTATGTTTTAACATTGTCATCTTCATCTTTGGTTTAAAGTTGACAGAACTCTAGAAATCCTGCAATAACAATATATAAAGCAAGTTGGCTTTCTACATTGCAAGCCTCCTACTTAAAAAACCATCTACTTTTGTGTTCTCAGTTAAAGAAAATCCCAATGGGATAAGTTAATATTGTGAAGAATTGAAAAGAAAATTAAAGAAATCCCTATAGATTAAATTCAGTCTTTATTATTCTCAGAGATTCAGCCAGATAATGATTTAAAGACAAGCATTGACAGAGAATGAACAAGCAGTTAAATGATGCAGGTTTGATTAAGCTATCTCCCATATAATGTAATTTTTGAAAACTCTGGTAAAAATTATATCCAAGTAATTTAGCAAAATAAATATATTGACATTGGACATAGTTTGTATGGTTAAGATTGGTAGAAATTCCAGTTCAGAAATGGGATATAGAGAAGATTTTCTGGAGAGCTATTATTGGCATAAGGAAATATTTGCCTCCCTTAGGCTATAAAGACAGGACTAAATGAAATATTGTTTTATCTAACCACCAATGGTAGAACGAAGGGTCACCACTTATTTGCAAGTACTTATTTTGGCTGGCAATATTACAGTAGATCCATCCTGTCCTTACTAAGATCAAAATTGTTACTATTCGAATTTCAATTAAGGGTCTTATTTGGCAGGAGATTCCCTTTTAAATTCTTCTTCTTCTTCTTCTTCTTCTTCTTCTTCTTCTTCTTCTTCTTCTGCTTCTGCTTCTGCTTCTGCTTCTGCTTCTGCTTCTGCTTCTTCCCCTTCCCCCTTTTCTTCCTCATTCAAAATGTTTTAATTTACATATTCTACCTTGAGATAAACCAAAGTTTAAATAACTTTTGACTTTCTCTGTTCTCAATTGCAAATGAAAGACCAGTTTTCCGTAAGTTGCATCCACCAGATGTATGGAGTTTTACTTCTATATTGCTCCTTCTGATTGCAGATTATAAAAGTTATAATAGAATAGCAACAGCACTTAGACTTACATACCACTTTATGGTTCTTTACAGCACTCTCTAAGTGGTTTACAGAGTCAGCATATGTCCCCCAACAATCTGGGTCCTCATTTTACCCACCTCGAAAGGATGGAAGACTGAGTCAACCTTGAGCCTGGTGAGATTCGATCTGCCAAATTGCAGGAAGCCGGCAGGTAGCAGAAGTAGCTTGCAGTACTGCCACTGCACCACCACATTTCTTTCTTTCTTTCTTTCTTTCTTTCTTTCTTTCTTTCTTTCTTTCTTTCTTTCTTTCTTTCTTTCTTTCTTTCTTTCTTTCTTTTTAGAGTGCCACTTGTCCAGATATCACTTGATATTGATCAAGGGGAATATATTTTGTTCAAAGGTTTCAGGATATTTTCATGCCTTTTTTTAAAAAAAAGCAAAGAAAGAAAACAACACACAAATCAGTTATCTGTTTAAAAAGTGATTCCATTCTGTCCGTCTAATAATCCTTTGCTCATAACTATTTTTCTTCCATTCAATCTAATGCTCTGCTTTAACTAATAGCAAAGCCAGGAATTCTTATACTGTGCTGTATCTCTGGCTATATGGTTTTCTTTGCACTTCATGAGTTAATTTTAACTGAGGTTCATTTTGGATAGGCTTTGATCCCTCAAATAGTTTTGTGGGATGTGACAGCTGTCATCCAAGAAATGTCAGGAGTACAGGGAAGGGAAGATTAAGAGTGATATAATAAGAGAAAATTTCACTAACTAATGGTTGGTTGTTGTTTTTTTGTCCAGGCAGAAGCTGATAATGGAGGTTGAAAACTTCACTATGGTGTCAAAATTTGTCTTATTAGGACTCACTAATGACCGTAAGACCCAGATTTTGCTTTTTGTGGTCATCCTCATTTTCTATCTATTTATTCTTGTGGGAAACTTTGTGATCATCATACTGGTGTTAGCTGACTCCAAGCTTCATACACCTATGTACTTCTTCTTGACTCACCTCTCCAGTCTGGAGATCTGTTATGTCTCCAGCACTGTGCCCCAGATGCTGGCTCATCTCTTCTCTGGAAATGGAACCATTTCTTTCATACGTTGTACAACTCAGATGTACATTGCTTTGTCCTTAGGTAGTACTGAAGGATTTCTGTTGGGGGTCATGGCCTATGATCGCTATTTGGCCATCTGTCATCCTTTCATGTATACTGTTGCCATGGACAAGTGGCGCCAAATGCAACTCACCATAGCTTCATGGGTTGGTGGCTTTCTCCTGTCTGTGATGAATGTGGGCTGTACATTACGCCTCCCCTTTTGTGGCCCCAATCGTATCAACCATTTCTTCTGTGAACTGCCAGTGGTGTTAAAACTTGCCTGTGCTGATACCTATGTTACTGAGAGCATAATTTTTGGAGCAGCGGTTCTGATCCTGTTGATTCCTCTTTCAGTTATCCTGACTTCCTATGGGCTCATTCTATCAACTGTATTACAGATGCAGTCAGCAGCTGGCCGAAGCAAAGCCTTTTCCACTTGTGCTTCCCATTTGGCGGTGGTCACGCTGTTCTATGGCACTGTCATAGCTATGTATATGAGACCTCGGTCAAGCACAACTCCAGACAGTGACAAGAAAATTGCTGTCTTTTACATTGTAGTCACCCCTCTGCTCAACCCTATTATCTATACCCTGAGAAACAAGGATGTTCATGGGGCATTGGCCAAGATGCTAAATACCAAACACTAAAAAGTACAAGCACTTAGGCTCTCCTTGGTTTAGAGGTTAATATCAACCCGTAAATCATTCCTATGCCTGTTTCCGAGTTTCTATAAGAAGGAAGGGAGGGAGGGCCTGAGGGAGCAGTGCAGCAGATGAAGGCTAAAAGCACATTCCATGCTTATCTTGTGGAGATTGTAGCATAGGCTACTGGATCGTCTGAACTCGTAAATCCTTCATTCGAGAATGTGATTGATGACACCCAGCAAATGAATATGTTTCATTGGAAAATCTGATGTATGACACATGGGGGTGGGTGGGGGGAAACAGAGTCATAGGTGATAGTAAATTATGTGTCTTGGAGTTGGCTTCATATGGATTAATGTTTTACATGATGCTCCTAATAAATCTTTTGGATTCTTTTGAAGCTTGGCTCAAGGCTCATGATTTAATTAGGGCTATCTCTGGAATCCTGACAGCAATCTTGTTGCATGCTGAATTGAGCATCATGTTTTGGAGAGACAAGAGAGAATAAAGGTTTGCACAATATTAACATCTCCTCAGCAAATCTGGAGGCCGGGCACCATTTCTCAGTTTTATGTTCATCATGTGGAAACCATCTGATATGTCCAACTTCATCATTTTAAAAAAATGAACAAAGAGATTGACAATGTTATGTATTATTGTTGGTAAAGTGATACTGTTCCATTTCCTGTCCCCAGTTCTTATTCACTTTTATAAGAAAATATTTGTTTTTTAAAAATTGTTTTAAATGAGTCAAACATTATAGAAAAGTTTTGTCGGTAAGCACCCTTGTATTTATTTACTTTCAAGGTGGATAAGAAGTGGGTATGAATGTCCTCCAAATTAAAATCTGAAATGGACAACATGAGGGAACTACTCAAGATTTGTGTAAGTTATTTATAAAGGGAAATTCTGTCTTTGAGAAAACATTGGATCAATCATTGTTCTCCTTAATTTTGACTTGTGTGATATTATTTCTCAGTCCCTGTTGATCAGAGGTGGTATTCAGCAGGTTCTGGCCAGTTCTGGAGAACCGATAGTGGAAAATTTGAGTAGTTCACAGAGTCGGCAAATACCACCTCTGACTGGAGACTTTACAGTATCCTTCCCTTGCCATGCCTACCAAGCCACACTCACAGAACCAGTAGGAAAAAAAATTGAATCAACTGCTGTTGATGTTCAATCAATATTTGAAGCAGATCCTCTCTTCACCTTCAGTTGAAACCAGTTAATTCTCCTTTCAGAATATGCCATTCAATAATATACCGTGTTTCTCCAACAATACAGCCTCCACCAATAGGAAGGCCCAGCATGTTTTATTGGCATAAAATCAAATTAAGGTCTATATTAAACATGCAAAATGGGGGGGAATGGCGGGGGAGCTTGCCATTAGGAAATACTTTTGTTGCATACCCAGATACCAATGCCATGGCATTTGGCACAGCCACACGCAGCCAGCCAGGGCTCCTCCCTGCAACCAGAGCCCAGCGGAGACACTCGGCTTCAGGCGCTCCTGTCGCCACCTTCCCTTTGCCTTCAAAGACAAAGCCAATTCTTTTAAAAACAACACCCTACTACCGGTACAACAAAGCCTCCCCTGCCCAAGCGGGCAGCCCAACCCCACTTGGGGAGGCAAATCTCCCTGCGCTGCAGTGCAGGATCGGCCCACCCCAGGAGAAGCACCCAGCCACCATCCCTGCCTGGCGCTGGGCAGAGTGCGAAGAGCTTCACCTGGGGTGTGCGGCGCAGCTGACAGGTGGGCCCTCCTACCCAGCAACAGAGCTCTTGCCAAGGCAGCAAGTGCCTCCCTGCCGGACCCTCTGCTCATCCTGTCAGGGCTGCGCCAAAGCTGTGCGGGCTGGGCAGAGCCGGGAAAGCAAGCCATGGGTGCGCGCCCACCTGCCAAGCGAAAGAGCTGGGCCGACCCAAGCTTGGCTTCCTTCCCAAGTCCCTCCAGTCCCAACCCAAAGGGGCCATCGGGAAAGGCTGCCTGAGGCAGTGAGAGCGCCCACCCATCCGTGGACAGGGAGGCAAGGTGATGGCCTGTGCTGCGTCCTCCTCTGAGCTGAGCCCCGCTGAGTCAGCACCTCTTCCTGATGCCCATTCTGCTGCAGCGTTTGGAGCTTCCGGCACATTTGGAGATGCATGGGGATGGGGAGGTTCTGGGTGAGGGGTGGAAAGGCCAGGAAGCTTCAGGCTCTCTCCACTGGCCAGGGAAGCAGTGCTGCCATCACCTCACCTCCCTGTCCATGGATGGGTGGGAGCTATCACTGACTCTCCTAGTAGCCCCTTCGGGTTTGTGCTGGAGGGACTTGGGAAGGAAGCCAAGCTCAGGTCAGATGGCTCTTTTGCTTGGCCAGGGCGTGCACCCACGGCTCACTTTCCTGGCTCTGCCCAGCCCGCACGGCTCTGGCGTGGCCCTGGCGTGGCCCTGGCAGGATGAGTGGAGGGTCCGGTGGGGAGGCACTCGCTGCTTTGGTGAGAGCTCTGCTACCAGGAAGGAGGGCCCACCTGTCAGCTATGCTGGGCGCCCCAGGCAAAGCTCTTTGTGCTCTGCATGGCACCAGGCAGGGATGGCAGCTGGGCGCTTCTCCCGAGGTGGGCTGATCCTGCGCTGCGGCACTGGGAGATTTGCCTCCCCATGTGGGGTTGGGCTGCCCTCTCAGGCAGGGGAGTCTTTGTTGTAGTAGGGTGTCATTTTTAAAATAATTGGCTTTACCTTCGAAGGCAAAGGGAAGGTGGTGACAGGAGCACCTCAAGCCGAGTGTCTCTGCTGGGCTCTGGTTGCAGGGAGGAGCCCTGGCTGGCCACACGTGGCTCGCAAAATGCCACAGCGTTGCTCTAAATGCCACAGCAGAAAGGGAGAAGGGAAAGCAATGGTGGCAGAAGGTCTCCTGATATGAAGTGCCCCACCAACGCCAATGTCAGCATCCAAGCTGTCACTGCCCGCCCACCCGAGGATGCAAGGGGGGGAATTAAGTCACCCCCGAAAAGATGACCTAGGCATTTTTTCAGGGGTCAAAAAAAAAATAAGGCCTGGATTTATTTTGTGAGAAACATGGTAGGTATTTTTTATTTAAATCAGAATGACATATCTGCAGCAATAGAAACCCATCCTCCATCCCTTTTGTGTCAGAAGCAGTATTTAAGGAACCCACTGAATGATTAAAATTGTTCTTCAGAGGACTTAGTTTACAAACAAATATTTCCCCAACCTGGTTAAATGTCTCACATTCTTTCTTAAAATGTGGTGCCCAAAATTTTCCACTTTCTCATTATCTATAGACAATTCATACATTTGGGTATTTTTTCCCCTTGATCTCATCCTCACGTCTTCAGTTTTGTTGCATATGAATGGGAAACCAAGAAAGAAGTCAATGAAGGTTTCACTTCTGGTTAATTAGATTAGTCTTTATTTCTTTGGTCCTACTTCCCTTGGGCTCTACCCAATCATAGATAAAGTTCTTCTTATCTTGTCCACTTCTCTTCAATCATTGTGTGTATTTCCATAGCAATCACCCATCCAGTTCCAAAATATATATTACGGGTTGCATAAGCGTATTGAGGGCAGACTAATTTAGCCTCTTGAATGAAACTGTCCTGAAGCTTTCTAGATACCAACATCTTAGAACATAGGACAATTGATTCTGAAGACCCTCAAATCCATATTACAAAGTGATGTAGGCACCATTTCCCCACCAGCACCAACAGCATTGAAGAAGGAGATGGCCCAGAAAGCAATGTTTGTTTGTTTGTGTGTTTATTTATTTGTCAAACATGTACAAGATAACAAACGTAAGTATGAACATAAACATGAACAAAGGGAGTAAATACAGTAAGACAGGGACGATAGGCATACGGGTGCATTTATACATGGCCCCTTTAAGGACTTCTTAGGAATGGGGTGAGGTCCACAGTAGACAGTTTGAGGTTGAAGCTGTGAGGGTTTGAGGCTGTAACAACTGAGTCGGGTAGGTCATTCCAGGTGTTGACCACTCTGTTGCTGAAGTCGTATTTTCTGCAATTGAGTTTCTAAAGGAAGCAGACTCATTAAGTTTACATCATTTATTTTAAATTAGTCTCTCAGGTTCCCATGAAAAGCAAACACATATAATGACCTACAGAAGATCACTCAAAGGAGTTAAGCAATTCTACATCAACAAATCCACCTGTAAATAATTTTACAAATCTTCTTGTAAAATCTTAACAAAGAAGGAAGCCAGTGTGCTGTTCCTTTCCCCTTAGGCATTGAATCAAGGTAAAGAGTATTTCAAGTTCAGTTTAGTTCATGAGGACTTTATGAAATCATCTAAGCAGCTATCTCAGAACCCTTAGCCTGTCTCTTCTTTCCCAGTATGTTCTTTGACTTCCCACTCCACATTTAGCTCCATTTCTAAAAGATTACTGGGAACCTATTTCCAGCAGTATACTTGAGGACGGAAGTTTGTGATAAACCATGCTCAAATACTTATAGTATATTATATATTATATGGAGCTTATAGTGGATTATAGAAGGAACAGATCAGACATCCAGCCCTTGCTTATCAATGGAGACCGAGTGGAGGAAGTGGCCAGTTCGAAGTTTCTGGGTGTTACACTAAAAGAGGACCTGACCTGGGGTGCCCACATTGCAGCCCTGGTCAAAAGGGCCCAGCAGAGGTTATACTACCTGAGACTTCTCAGAAAACAACAACTGAATGAAAAACTGCTGATGACCTTCTACCGATGCACCATAGAGAGCATTTTAACATACTGCACCTCTGTATGGTTTGCCAATTGCACAGTGGCAGATAGGAAAGCACTCCAGAGAGTTAATGTCATTGCCCAGAAGATCATTGGTTGCCCTCTCCCCTTTATAGCTCCCACTGCCTTAAGAAAGTTCAAAACATTCTCAAAGATCCATCTCATCCTGGGAACCCTTTTTTTGAACTATTACCATCTGGCAGACAGTACAGAATAATAAAAACAAGGATAAATAGGCTGGAAAACAGCTTCTATCCCAGGACAGTAGCTCTTTTGAATTCTGCTGTATAGTGCAGTGTTGGTGTGGTGTTGGGGGTTTCTGGTTCAATGTGTAAAGGGTGAAGGATGTGTGTTTGGGATTATTTTCATGGTTGTGATGTACACTGAAAATGGTGTTTGATTTTGTTGTACGAGATGCAATGACAATAAACTAAACTAAACTAAACTTCTTTAAAATACAGGGTTGGTAAGTGGAAATTAAACTTTCACCAACCAAGTTTTGGCACAATTCTTCAGGAGTGACAAATTCCTGGGAGAAGCACAGAGGTAAAATTTATTTCATCTTTTTATCAGTTTATGGATGAAGGACCAGGTAAATGGCCTATAACCTTAACTGGTCTCCAAAGGGAAAAACAGTCAGATCAGATAAAAATAAAATAGGAAATCAGTAGGCCATCCTACAGTTATACACTGGACTGGGAAGTTGATGAAACATCTCAGAAGAAGACAATGGCAAATTATTCCAAATAATAGGAACTGGTCAGCCAAATCACTCTTTACTTTCCTCTTTTCAACGCAATTTTTTTTCTTGATGAAATTCTAGCTTGTTGAATGATTTGTCTTTAGGATAAACCATAGGTTGATTGTTGAGTTCCATAGCAACTCTCCCAAGATAGTAGTCAAAACATTGTTTGCCAAAAGGAAGGCACTACTCTATTATGTAGAGAGGGTTTCTAAAATCATTTGATATTACTGAAAACATACAATTTTCCTGCTAACAAACTATAATCCCAATAGAAGAGAATATTTGCAGCTCAGAATTGAATTGTGGGGTCCTTAGTGCTGTGTGAGCTTTGTGGTTTGCTTGCAGGTGTTTCATTATCAAACTAGGTAACATCATGATGTTGGTAATGAAACTACCAAGCTCAGAGAGCACTAAGGACCCTACAAATCTATGATCAGTAATGGCCACTAACTTGGATTGAAAATTAAGGAATTCAGAGCTTAGATTATACTATAGTATAATGCTTTGGGGAAAAAAAAAGGTTTTTTCTCCCTCTTCTATTGTTTCTTGGTTTTTGGTTTTTGTTTTGATCTCAGTATCCATCAATATCTCCACTCTCCTCAGGATGCCCAAATGAGATCTGAGAACTTCACCATGGGAAAAGGGTTTATCCTTTTGGGACTTACCCATCAGCGAAACGAACAGATTTTGCTCTTCATGATCTTCCTCATAATCTACTTGCTTACAGTATTAGGTAACCTATTGATCATCATACTAGTATGTTTTGATGCTCAACTACACACACCTATGTACTACTTCCTCAGCCATCTTGCAGGCACAGAGATTGTGTATGTCACTACCACTTTGCCTCAGACACTAGCCCATCTCTTGGCTGGAAATGGAATGCTATCCTCGATACGTTGCATGTTACAAGGAGGCAGTGCACTGAGCATGGGCAGTACAGAATGCCTGCTCTTGGGAGTCATGGCTTATGATCGCTACTTGGCCATCTGCAATCCCTTAAAATATGCTTCTGCCATGGACAAGAAACTCCAACATCTGCTTGCCAGCTCCTGCTGGATCATTGGTTGCCTCTTCTCAATGGTCAATGCCGTTTGCATCTTTCGTCATTCTTTCTGTGGTCGTAATTCCATTAACCACTTCACGTGTGAGTTGCAATTTGTCCTGAAGTTGGCATGTGGCAATATAAAATGCACCACAGCCATTCTTAATGGTCTGTCAGCATTTATTGTTCTGGTTCCTTTTTCTATTATTTTATATTCCTATAGTTGCATCCTGTATTCCATTTGTCAAATGCAATCAGCTGCGGGTTGGCAGAAAGCTGTCTCTACCTGTGGCTCCCACCTTGCTGTGGTCACCTTGTTCTATGGTACAATTATCTCTATATACATAATCCCTCAATCAAGTTCATATCCTGACCGGGAGAAAAAAATTGCAGTCTTGTACATTGTGGTGACCCCTCTACTTAACCCTATCATCTATACCCTGCGGAACAAGGATGTCCATAAGGCTATGAGTAAGGTGTTGAAAAGAAGTAGATTAGAGAAAAAGCCATGAATATACTTCTTTTGCTCAATTTGTTTGTTTTAACAAAAATCTGCTTGCTTTTACTCTTAATATGGCACCAAAATATTTCCAGCTGATGACCTAAGGGGAGGTACTTGATTGTGTGGAATGACATTTAAATCTGGATCTTCAAATGTTGCTGACATGAACAAAACTCAGGGAAATCTAAATGTGGTTGAACTGTAGGTAGTCCTCGACTTACAACCATTTGTAATAGTTGTCATGAGGCATGGTAGCACAGTGGTTAGAATGCAGTACTGCAGGCTACTTCTGCTGACTGCCAGCTGACTGCAGTTTGGCAATTCAATTCTCACTGGCTCAAGGTTGACTCAGCCTTCCATCCTTCTGAGGTGGGTAAAATGAGGACCCAGTTTGTTGGGGGCAATATGCTGACTTTGTAAACTGCTTAGAGGGGTCTGTAAAGCAATGAGAAGCAATATATAATGTCCTATTGCTGTTTTATAAGGAACATTCAAAGTTACACTGAACACTGAAAAAGCAACTTATGACTGTTTTTCATACTTATGACCATTGCAGCATCCTTGTGTTAGATGCTTAGCAACTGACTCATATTTATGATGTGTCCTGGGGTGATGTGGTGACCTTTTGTGACCTGGGAAGCAAAGTCAATGAGGAAATCGAATTCACCTAACAACTGTGTTAGTAACTTAACTATAGCAGTGATTCACTTAATAAATGTGGCAAGAAAAATCCTTAAAAGGGGCAAGGCTCACTAAACAATTGTCTTACTAAACAATAGAAATTTGGGGCTCAATTATGGTCACAAGTTGAGGACTACCTGTAGTCTATTTATTATTGAGAAAGTGTTGGCATTTTTTTTACTAAGTAACACTGCATAATTGTGGTATAGCATATCGGAAGAATGAAGAGAGTAGGGCTATATTAAGTAAGACTTTAAAACAGACAGATTCTTAGTTGTCAATGTCTAGAATAAAGTGACAAAGCTATAGAGATAGAAGGACTGCATCAATTTCAGCATGAATTACAATGTAGATGATAATTTGTCTAGTTAAATTTATTTCTCCTTATGAAGCAACCCTGGGTGGCTTACATGAAAAACAATAAAATCAACAAAAATAAATATCCCTAACTCCATAAAGAGACAATCCAATCAAAACCAAAATGCAATCAAAATAAAACCATTGTGACAAAATAATGGAGAAGGAGGGAGCTAGATGTGTGCATTTGGGGGGAGAGATGGGATTAGATCCTAGTTAATCAATCACTTCCAATGTAAAAGCTTCCCCTTTGGGGTCCCAAGTCATCTGCCAGAACCAGGTTTTAAGGCTCTTGCAGAAGGTCAGAAGAGTGGGAGCCAATCTCACCTCACAAGGTAAGATGTTCCAGAGGGCAGGAGCCATGGCAGAGAAGGCTCTTCTCTTGATCTCTGCTAGCTGAAATTTCTTGATTGACAGGATCTGCATTGTGCCACCATTGCTACTGTGGGTGGGCCAGTAATCTGGACCAAGCTTTAAAGGTGATAGGCATCACTTTCAATTTCACCTGGAAGCAAATTGGCAACCAGTGGAGCTCAAAGAGCAGTGGTATAAGATGGGGTACTTCAATACTGTGTTCTATGCCACCTGTAGCTTCTGAATACTCTTCAAAGGTAGCCCTGATGTAGAGCACATTGCAGTAGTCCAAATGTGAGATGACCAAAGCTTGAATGACTCCTGGGGGCTCCTGATCTGGGAACTCTAACTCTGAATGACGCACAGGGATTCCTGATCCAGAAAAGTTGCAACTGGCACACAAGATGAAGATAATAGAATAGAATAGAATAGAATAGAATAGAATAGAATAGAATAGAATAGAATAGAATAGAATAGAATAGAGTTGGAAGGGACCTTGGAGGTCTTCTAGTCCAACCCCCTGCCTAGGCAGGAAACCCTATACCACTTCAGACAAATGGTTGTCCAATCTCTTCTTAAAATCTTCCAGTGTTGAAGCATTCACAACTTCTGGAGGCAAGTTGTTCCACTGATTAATTGTTCTAACCGTTAAGAAATTTCTCCTTAGTTCTACGTTGGTTCTCTCCTTGATTAGTTTCCACCCATTGCTCCTTCTCCTGCCCTCAGGTACTTTGGAGAATTGCTTGATACCCTCTTCTTTGTGGCAGCCCTTGAGATATTGGAACACTGCTATCATGTCTCTCCTGGTCCTTCTCTTCACTAGACTAGCCATGTCCAGTTCCTGCAACCATTTTTCTCTCCTCCCCCCCTTCTCCCCCCCCTCTCTCCATTCATTCCTCTCTCTCTCTTCAGGATGTTCCTTTGACTCCCAAGTCCAGCTATGACACAATTTCTATTAGATTACCAAGAAACTACATCTCAGGTAGAGCAGCAAAAATGTTCCAAAAGCAAATCATGGAGTAGCTGCTCATACAATTCCTACTGAATGATGCCTACCTAAATATAGACAAATATTATCATTTCAGAACCCATTAAGATATTGTCACCATAATTCACACATGATAGTAGGGTCTATCGAACAGACCTTCAATATCTACATCCCTGTAAGGTAACAAGACAATATAAGTAATGTATAAATAACAATATACTTGGTATACAATACAAAGGAACTGCTCAAAAGACTTTGAGAACTGTTCAAAAGATTTTGATTGGTATGAGTTATAAGTTTCTATATTATTGGTAATTTTGAATGAAGAACATCCTGCCTGCATTCTTTCCCAAAGGACAAAGGACTTCTTACACAACTACTGTAGATCATTTAGGTGTGGTGTATCACCCCTTACTGTCCTTCCAGTATTTCTCACTTTTTCTAATACTAGCCTATAGCCCTCCTATAAGTATTAGGCAGAAGTTCCAGATTCTATTAATGCATTGATTTCTGTCGGAGGATAAATTGTGTGTGATCATTTCAACATTTATGTTTCATAACAGCACTCTTTGATTCATTATCTGGCAAATACAACAGGTTATAATAATCCATTGACAATGTCTTTGTACTATTCAGAACTAATCAAACGGTAGAATCCAGACAGATGCATTGGAAATCAAGATTTCTCAGCTGATATTGAGTTATAGTGGATGTACAGATTATTCTTCCTTTTCTCTCTCCGTGTTTTCTTTTAAACTCATTGTCCAACAATTGCTCTGTAGGCAGAATGCCAAGATGCATGCTGAGATCTTCACTTCAGAAACAGGGTTCATTCTCTTAGGACTCACATCTTATCAAAATCAATGCATTGTGCTATTTGTGGTCTCCCTAACAATGTACTTACTCACAGTTTTGGGTAACCTGCTAATTATCATATTGGTAAACATTGATGCTCAACTGCACACACCTATGTACTTCTTCCTCAGCCATCTTGCAAGCATGGACATAGGGTATGTCACCAGCTCTGTGCCTCAGACTTTAGCCCACCTGTTGGCTGGAAAGGGAGTGCTTTCCTCAATAGGTTGCATCTTACAGGGAGACACTACTCTGAGCTTGGGCATTACTGAATGTTTGCTGTTGGGTGTCATGGCTTATGATCGCTACATGGCCATCTGCAACCCCTTGAGATATGCCTCTGCTATGGACAGAAAGCACCAACATCTCCTTGCCACCTCCTGCTGGATCATAGGCTGTCTTCTCTCAACTGTCACTATTGTTTGCATCTTTCATCATTCCTTCTGTGGTCCCAATTTCATTAACCACTTTTTCTGTGAGCTGCGTTTTTTGCTAGATCTTACATGTGATGATGTAAAGCACACCAAAGACATACTTAATGGCCTATTAGTATTTGAAGTTTTGGTTCCCTTTTCAGTTATCTTGTGTTCCTATAGTTGCATCCTCCATTCAATTTTTCAAATGCAGTCAGTTGCGGGACGTTATAAGGTTTTCTCCACCTGTGGCTCCCACCTTACTGTGGTTAGCTTGTTCTATGGTACCATCATGTCTATATACATAATCCCCCAATCAAACTCATCTCCTGATCAGAACAAAAAGGTTGCAGTTATGTATCTTGTGGTCACTCCCCTGCTTAACACCATCATTTACACTTTGTGGAATAAGGATGTCCACAGGGCTGTGATCAAGGTGTTGAAAAGAAGGAACTTTGAAGAAAAACCATGAAGATTCATATCCTGTTGAATTCATCTCTTTTGACTCAAAGCCTATTTTTTAAAGTCATTATCAATATTTCACTAAGATGATCCATCTGTTTATTTCTGAGAAGTTTCTGAAACATCAGACATGATTATCAATTGACTGGAATGCAATTTAACTCTGTTAATAAAATGACATAGCAGTGCAAATATTGTACCTTCTTCATGACTCAGTGCAATCTAATACTGATATAATGGGTTAAAACTGTAGGTCTACACTTTTTCAGCTACGATAATATTTGTACTGTTAATTTATGCTACCTAACAAGATAAAAAATATTGTTTGTGAAAGGTATCCCTGGGAAATTCTGAATAGGAGTTATAATAGAAATTGTTAAATCTATGTCTAAAATTTGCTAGATAGCCAATATCAGTTTAACTCTGGAAATGAAAAAAAAATGACAAAAAAGGTCAGGTAGAATTATAATCATTTTTTAAATTTAATATCATTTATTTAGATTATAGAATAAAATACAAAAATACAAAAGGAAATGGTAGGACACAGTGGGAAGGGGAAAAAGTAACAAAAGTGAGGAGGGGGGGAGAAAAGATTAAAACCCCATTGATTTCTGACTTCCTCTTTTGCAGTAGACTAAAGCAATACCATCAAACCTTGACTTTTTATTTTTATTTTTTATTTTTTTTTTCAATCGCTTGCAAGATAACATGTATAAGTATAAACATAGTTTTGAATACATGAGATGGATATCTATAAGAAAAATAAAAAGAAACAATAGGACATGGGTGATAGGCACATTTGTGCACTTTTGCATGCCCCCTACAGACCTCTTAGGAATGGGGTGAGGTCAATAGTAGACAGTCTAAGGTTAAAGTTTTGGGGGTTTGGGGAAAAATAACCACAGAGTCAGGTAGAGTATTCCAGACATTGACCACTTTGTTGCTGAAGTCGTATTTTCTGCAGTCAAGTTTGGTGTGGTTAACCTTGAGTTTGTATCTGTTGTGTGCTCTTGTATTGTTATGGCTGAAGCTGAAGTATTCATTTGCAGGTAGGACATTGCAAAGTATGATTTTATATATTATATTTAGATCGGACCGAAGGCAGAGTAGTTCTAAGTTTTCTAGGTCTAGAGTTTCAAGTCTGGTGGTATAAGGTATTCTGTAATGAGTAGAGGAGTGGAGAACTCTTCTTGACTTTTTACTTTTCTGTAATTGTATAAAGTAACCATTTCTATAACAAGAAATGAATCAAGTCAGTAAAACTCAAAATCAAAGTTTCATTTATTTCACCTCAAACAGAAAATCCAGAAGCATTCTCTATGTAACAACAAAAGTACTTATATTCTTTATTTTGAACAAAACAGTCAATTTAACCATTTCTGCCAACCCCATCAGCTTCTATAGCCATTCATCCATGGTGGAAATCAAAATGTCTTTCCATTTTTGTGCATATCATACTCTGTCTGCAGTCAACATATATAAGATCAGAGTTCCAATTATTTCCAAGTCTTTTTCCATTAAATCCCAAAGAAAAGTTTATAGTTTCATCTTTCTCTTTATTATAAGAATATCTCTATTAAAATACGAATCCTACTCCAATATTCTACCACACATAAAAATAACAATACTGTCCTGAACACAACACAAAAACCTGAACACAGAATACAACACAAAAACCTGAAATCCAATAGCTAAAACCAACAACTGCAACCCAATCCACAAAACACCATAAATCCAACAAATAATGATAACCCAATCCTCATCAGAAAAGCTGTCAAGTGCGAACAAAAGCATCCTAATGCCATCTTATTTGGTCTAAAGCAGAGGCCCCCAACCTTTTTTGTGCCACAGCCCGGTACCAGCATCACAAAATAATCCACAGCCCGGTACCAGCATCAGGTCACATGACAAGGCAAGGCGAGCCAAGCGACCGGCCAGCCAGCCATCCCCTTCTTCTCCCTGCCACCTTCAACTCCTTCTTTGTACCTTTGTCGATGGGCTTCACTTTGGGACAGCTTCAGGACGGTCGCTCGGCTTGCCTTGCCTTGGGTGCTGAAAGAATCCTCGTGCCTTAGTTTCATTCGAAGCCCCCCACTTCAATGAAACTAAGGCGCGAGGATTCCTTCAGGACCCAAATGCCGCTTTCTAACTGGAAAAGCTCACCCAGAAGCACTTTCTCATCAAACAAGATGGCGGCACCCCGCAAACCGGCGGCCCAGTAGGAAATGTTCCACGGAGCGGTACCAGTCCGTGGCCCAGTGGTTGGGGACCCCTGGTCTAGAGGACATTAATAACAATGATGATATCACAATTGCCTGGAACATCATCAGTGGCTATCAAGCATCAAGCATCTATCTCCCCTGATGAAATACTTGATATTTCTCGCATTGGCGGGGAACTAAAAAACAGAGATGGCTCTGTGGCCCCACGCTTCTGCAGAGTCATTTGCAAAAATGAATTAAGCAAACATGAATTCATTTATACTATAAATTCACTCACAAAAACAACACCAACCATAAAAACCTCCAATCTCATCCTAACCTGACTTTATAGCTATGTGCCCGCTCCCATATACTACGCACAGAATTCAAAAATTGTCTAGACAATGGAGAGAAGGACCTGTACATTGATTACCATCAAATTTTGATTACTACAAGATTTTTTCAAAAGAAAGTCACACAACCCACAACTCAGCATCCAAACCTTCTTCAACCAATCCACCATCACCCAAGACTAGGCATGCCCACCCCCAACTACCTCAATTCAAACTACAACTGGCCTTAAGTGCAAGCTACTCAATTCAAGAAGCCTTGTAAATAAAATACCTGAATTTCTCCTCTTACTAAATACAGCTAAACTCGACATCATATTTGTCTGTGAAACATGGCTCAGCACATCTCTCCCTGACTCCATTACCCCAGTATCATCTTTACTGATCTGATCGTGAAATCCGTAGAGGAGGTGGTGTTGCTATCTTCTATAAAAAGTCCTTACATCTAAAAAACATCCAAGTTACCCAAGAGCTTGCTCTTCCTGAGACCATTATCTATGAACTGACCTTAAATATCACATTTCGGTTCTTACTATGTTACAGAGCCTCTGATTATGACATTGAACACATAAACAAGCTAAATATACTACTAACATGGGCAGCATCCTGCCCACACACTTTTATCTTTCTTGGTGACTTCAATCTACCTCATATTAACTGGACCCTAAATGAATGTACAATTGAACCCATACATGCAACCTTCTACAATGCTGTAACAAATCTGGGACTGGAACAACTAGTAACCAACAATACTAGGCTTAACAAATGCCTTGATCTCATCTTCTGCAACAGTTTGAATTCAATTTATGGAATACAAATTAAAGAACCCTTTTCCAACAGTGACCACAACATGATTGACTTTTGTCTCAACATACATCCATACAAAAATCATCACAATGACAAAATCCCCAATTATAATTTCAAAAAAGGCAACTATGATCTTACAATCAACAATCTCTCTTCCCTTGATTGGTAATTTCTATTCATTGGATAAAATACTTAGAAGACCATTACAACATATTTTTACTTGAAGTCAAAAGAGTCATCAAACTATATGTACCAATAACAACTCCCAAAACCAGGAAAAACAGATTACCCATAACAATAAGGAAGCTTCAATCCAAAAAGAGACCATTTTGGCAAAAAAACCAGATCTGCTCATGTTGCCAACTTCAAAAGCCGATACAAAAATCTATGCCACCCGATAAAAACTGAATGCACTAATTATCACATTAAACAAGAGGAAAACCTTCTATGCACAAATTCCACCCACGCTTTCTACAATTTTGTAAACAACAAACTAAAAGACTCAGGTCCATCCCACCCCTGAAAGGACCTAATGGCAAAGACTGAAATGATGACACCTTCAAAGCAAACCTCTTTAACACATTCTTTGGCTCAGAATTTGTAAACAGCAATGGATCAAGCCCAGTACTTCCTAGTCAAACCACAGACAACTACAATGATCTAATACGTATTGATTTTACAGAAGACATTGTTGAAAAAGCACTGTGCAATCTAAAACTATCCCTATCTATTGGACCAGACAGAATATGTGCATACTTCTTTAAAAAGCTATCCACTGCCATAGCCAAACCTCTAAGCATAATCTTTGAAAAATCTTTCAGGACCAGCTCCTTGCCAAAACTACAGTCACAGGCCAGGGTCATCCCCATCTTGAAAAAGGGAGACACCAGCCTAGTTGAAAATTACAGACCAATCTCCTTATGCTGTGTCACTTTTAAAGTTGTGGAATCAATTATTAACCAATCCATTATCCTCCACTTAGACTCAAACAACCTACTCTCTAATAAACAATTTGTTTTCAGAAAAAAACTATCATGTAATCTGCAGCTCTTGCACTGCAGAAACATATGGACTACCCAACTCGATCAAAGAAAGCAATAGACGCAATCTACAAAGACTTCGGTAAAGCCTTTGATTCAGTGGTACAAAACAAACTACTCCTAAAACTAAAATCTTATGGTATCTCTGGACATCTGCATAATTGGATAGAAGCATTCCTGTCAAACAGACAACAAATGGTCAAAATTGGGAGCATCCTATCAAATTCTTTACCTGTCAGCAATGGTGTCCCCCAAGGCAGTGTTTTAGGACCAACTCTCTTCATACTCTACATAAATGACCTCTGTGATCATATTAAGAGCAACTGCATTCTCTTCGCTGATGATGTAAAGCAATTAACACCACAGACAATAATACTACCCTCCAAAAAGACCTTGGCTATGTATCAGAATGGTCAATCAAATGGCAACTTCAAATCTCAACAAATAAATGCTCCGTCTTACATATTGGTAGAAAAAAATCAGAAAATAAAATACAAGCTAAATAGTCAAGACCTTGTTGAGGATCTAAACTTTGTCAAGAACCTTGGAGTACTCATCTAAAATGATCTAAGTGCTAGAGTCCACTGTAACTACATAGCCAAAAAGGCATTA